CCCATGTGGTGGGGCCACTGGGTCAGGGGCAGTGGCTGCTGGCTCTGGGCTGGCAGGCTTGGAGCTGGCACAGGCACTGTGGCCAGAGTCTACCCCTTTCAGGGCTCCGGGGTGGGGGGAGGGAGAGGAGTGTTCTTGGTTGAGGGCAGAGAGCCACCAGGGCACCCTGGGAAGGCTGGAGGCCCCTTATTTCGATATAAGTGTCTACACAGCACTTATTTCAAAATAGCTACTTCGAATTTGGCGTTATTCCTTGTGGAATGAGGTTTACCAACTTCAAAATAAGCGCTCCACTATTTTGAATTAATTTTGAAATAGTGGTTTGGCTGTGTAGATGCTAGTAAAGTTATTCAAAATAACGGCTGTTATTTTGAAATAACTTTGCTGTGTAGACATACCCTAAAGAAAACTGTCCCTAGAACAATATAGAACACAGCTTCAGCTCCTAGATTTTGCTGGTGGCAGGGATAGTGCAGCACAATTTCTCAGCTCCCATTGGCCAGTTTCTGGCCAATAGAAGTTGAGAGATTTTGCTGAGGACAGGACGCGTCTCCCTCCCTGCAGCATATAGCATCACAAGCACAGCCAGCGGTTTGGGGCTGCTTGCTGGGAATTGCTTAGGTGAGCACCTCCTGGCCAGATGCTGCCTCTGGCACCCTCCCCATCCCACATCCCAACTCCCTCCCAGACTCTGCCCCTCCCTCCTATACCCCTCCAGACCCCAAAGCCTCTCCATAGAAAGGTGTGGCCCTTGACCACTTACCAAAATCTTGGAGTGGTCCCCTCATCAAAAATTACTGCCCACCCCTGGGCTAGACTGTGGGTCAGTTGGTGAGTACCTTTCCAGAAGGGTGGAATTTACATCCCCCTGAGAGACGTAGCAATGGGCATGTGCATTATCAGCGTAGACCAGCCCTGCAACTGCTCATTGGGCTGGAGACAGATACGCACAGCAACCAGCTGTCTGAGGCTACGGCAGAGATTTTCCACAAAAACTTCTTGTACAAAAGCATGTCTACACTACAAAAGCGTATCGCAAAAGTGATGTGCTTTTGCGCAAAAGAGCATCCACACTGCATGGACGCTCTTGTTCAAGAAAGCTCGGATTGCCCTTAACAGAATGGCTATCAGAGCAACTGTGCTTTTTCTGATAGGCTCTTTTTGCACAAGGAACCCCTGTTGAGTGTCCACACACGCCTTTTTGTGGAAGAACTCTTACGCAAAAAGGAGTTATTCCTTGTAGAAAGAGGTATGCCTCCACCACAAACAGCCCTCTGTTCTGCCATTCTACTGTACATTTTCTTGTGCAAAAACGCACTTGAGGTGTGGACGTTCCGTGGGTTTTTGCACAAAAATGGCTGGTTTTGTGCAAAATCCTTGTAGTGTAGACGTAGTAGAAGGGAGTAGCCTTGGTGAGCACAGCAGTATTCAGCCATTGCTCAAACACAGCATTGGGATTCTCTTATACTCAGGGCAGAATTCATCCCAGAGCAGTTGTGACGTAGTGGGGGTACCTTGCTGGTTGCTATGCTGGGGCTGTGGGTGACCCCCACTGGCTGCTGTCTGTAGCACAGCCCAGCAGGACAGGGGATGAGTCACTAGGCAATGGTCTCTCAACCTGTCCGACCAGCTACCCCACAGGGAGAGAAACAAAGGAAGGTGGAATGCCGCCCCTGGCTGGGGGGCAGGGCTGGAAGTCAGGGTATGTCTACACTACCACGCTAGTTCGAACTAGGGGGGGTAATGTAGGCAACCGGAGTTGCAAATGAAGCCCGGGATTTGAATTTCCCGGGCTTCATTTGCATAAAGCCGGCCAGCGCCATTTTTAAATGCTGGCTAGGTTGGACCCCGTGCTGCGTGGCTACACGTGGCACGGACTAGGTAGTTTGGACTAGGAAGCCTAATCCGAACTACCTAGTCCGTGCCGCGTGTAGCCGCGGGCACGGAGTCTGCACTAGCAGACATTTAAAAGTGGCGGGGCGTAGCTGCGCAGCACGGGGTCCAACCTAGCCGGCATTTAAAAATGGCGCCGGCTGGCTTTATGCAAATGAAGCCCGGGAAATTCAAATCCCGGGCTTCATTTGCAACTCTGTATGACTACATTACCCCCCCTAGTTCAAACTAGGGGAGTAGTGTAGACATACCCTGACCATGCAAGAGAACTAGTGGAGCAGAATGCACCTAGGGAGCAGAGCCATCTAGTAAGAAGATGCCACCTTCTACACGGGCAACTTCAACTTTTTAGAGCAGGACCAGCTCCTGCCGGGGCATCCACCAGAAATGAACACAAGTGAAATGAGTTGAACGTCTCAGCCAACGGACCGGACCGACACAAGTGCAGGAATGTGATAGCACCAGGCATGCGCCTAAACCAGGGCTGGGAACCTTGTTGGAGGGGGGCCACTGACCCACAGAAAAATCAGTTGGGGGCTGCACACAAATGAGAAACAAACAAACCAAAACCTCCAACCCCTCACTAACGTGGCCCCGACTGAGAAGGGGAAAGACCCTCCCCACATTCCTCCTTGCACACCGGAGCCTGGGGGGCTCGGCCTCGTAGATGCTGTGAGCCCCAGCCCCAGGGGGAAAGGAGGGATTGGAAGATGGCTGGAGCAGACTCCCCAATGCTCAAGGGAGCTCAGAGCCTTGGGGGCTGGATCCAGGCAAGTCAGGGGGGCACATCTGGCACCTGGGCCTTAGGTTGCCCACCCCTGGCCTAAACAATGGTGCAGGATTAGCACCCTTGTTAGCCAGTCCCACCCTTTGAGCCACAGGGACACAAGAGCGAAGTGGGTAACAGTGTCTGTCCCTAAGTCAGTGCATTGGCTAGTATGAAACAAGATAAATAAATGTGCCCAAAAGCCTTGTCTGCAGCCACTGGGACAGCACTAATGAGAAAGGTTCCATACCTAGTGAGGTCCAGCAACCTCAGTTCAGGCACTTCGGAGAAATAATTTGAGGTCAGTGACACCAGTGGGTTGAAGCTGAGATCCAAGTTCTCGGTGGAAGGTGGGATTTCAGCTGGTACTCCAGAGAGGTTCAGATCCATGCATCTGTAAGTTATGTTGGGGATCACCTGCAACATGCACAGAACCAATCCACAGATCAATGTCCAGATTCCACAGAGCTCTGGACAGTTAAACCATCAGAAAACTATAAAGTACAGGCTAAATCTCTCTGTAAGAGACAGCTTCTCTGGGCCACAGTGAACAACAGGGAGCAGCGTCGTGCAGAGTCCAAACATCTGTGTCTCTTCCTGTAATAGAATTTCTGCTTCCCAATCCAATAGCCAATATAATTACCAGTGTAATCAGGTGCAAGTCCACTGGGCTCATGCCTACTTATACCATTGGTGAACCTGGAGCAGAGCTTTTAAAGACCAGATTCGTTGTGATAATGGAAATACACCAAGGATCAGGTATACTGTCAGACAGTAACCATCCAAAATCAGCATTAAACTGAATTTTTAGAGAACATTTAACTTTTTTGGTAGAGAACTCTCATTTCTATATACAGGTGACAGCTGGAATCAACCAACTCAGCAATGAGTAACTGACCAGAGGCTGTAAAAATAACTGTGCAATATATTAGAGTAAAACCTAAAACATCACAGCTTACAGTAGGAATACGACAGGGGCTGGTCTATTCCATCGTTAGGTTAATCCCAGACATCTTACATCAACATAACTGTGGAAGTGTCCACACTTAAATTTCACTGCTGCCAACTTATCTGCCCTGCAGTACCAGCTTAACAACTCCAACTTCACAAGCAGCGTAGTGTCAATGTTGATGGAGTTAGGTCGACAGAGATCAGTGTAGACAGGGCCATCCTTAGGGGGTGCAGGGCTTTGGACAACCCCCCCAAATATGCCCCACACCAAGCCCCAGCCCCAACCTGCCTCTTCCAACCCATACTCCACCCCATGCCACCCCCACTCCACCCCTTCCCCCAAGCTCGTCCCCCAAGCAATGCAGCCTAGGAGACTAGAGAGGGGCCAGGCACCGGCAGCAGGGTTCAGACCTACTCCTGCACTCATTGGCCCCAGCTGAAAGAGGAGCAACCCAGCGCCAGCTGGCTCTGCTTGGCCAGTTCCCAGCCATGTTGCTCCATTTCCACTGCTGGTGAGTGCAGGGCAAGGTCGCACACCTTTCCCCAAGCTCCTCCCCCTGTGAGGTCGCTTGTCGTCCTGCCACTGCTGGTGAGTGCAGAGCAGGACCAACCCTGCTGCTAGTGCTATGTACTCCCCACTAGTCCCCTGGGCTTCCCAAAGCACAGGGCCTGAGACAGTTGCCCCAAATTGTCCAATGGATGAAATGGCTCTGAGTGCAGAACTGCATTGCTTACCCTCACTGTGACTGGCTTTCAGCAGTCACCCTGTGGTGCCCTATGCTCGCTGTACAATTGATACCAGCACCCCTGGGAAGGACATACACCGCTGACACCAAAAGCAGAGAGCAGACATGCATAAGCAATGTAATTATCGTGGCAGCTGGATCGATGTAATATTGTGGGATTGATGTGGCCTGAATCGGTTGCTGAAGGAGAAAGGGATCCATTGGCAGTCCTGTGGCTAGTAAATGCACCTCAGCAATACCAAGAGAAATTGGTCAAAACTAACCGATCGGTTATTTTTCTGATGCTGGGAGTTGGTTTGGGCTGGGTTCTTCATCGTGCCATGTGCGTTCTGAAAAGCTGCGCAATTCTGCTGACAAAAAATAACTCACCCCACAAGACGAGCACCCAGCATATCAAATACACAGATCTCATGGGGTGGGGAAATCTGCCCTGGAGAAAGAAAAGGATTTGGTTATTTAGAGATCACTTACCTCCACACAGGGGTTGAAGCTGCAGGCCATCAACTGCGACAGGAAAAGGATGGCAGAAGACAGCACTAAGCAGGTTGGAAAGGAGAGAGCTCCTCTCCCAAGCATCTTCAGGAGCTGACCATTCAGTGGAAAGAACCATGAGTGAAAAAGAAAGCGAGGGACAGCTCCTTAAGGACTGTAGCGCACCCCACCATCAGTGCCCCAAGCCTGTTCCCAACAGCAGGGGGAGGAGGGGGAAGTGAAATTGAAAACGAGTGGGCTCACTCTTCCGTTCAGTTGCTTGTAAAGAAGAGGAAGTTACGGGCAAGCATGACCTCGTGGGCAAGAAGACCAGAGATGACTGCGTACTGTCAGACCAATCATTTGAACATGCAGCAAAAAGGGAACCTTCCTGTAAACCCGTCCCCCCTCCCGGAACACAGGTCCTGGGAGAGAAAGGCAGTCCATCCCACACACTACACATCTGACAGCACTAGGTGCATCCAGTATTGGCACGGGGTTTCCAGACTGGAGAAGTAGGCGGGCCACACACAATGCTCCCAACTCAAGCAGAGCAGAGGTCTGCCAGAAATGAGCGTGGTGCAGACACATGCAGGAAGCAAACCAATCTGGGTGGAGCTGGGAAGTGGCCCCATCCCCAGGAGACAGCTGGTATGGAGCCGTCATCTTGCTGGGATCACTCTGAGGGCACGAAGCATTTGGGCACATACTTTGTTAAGCACAGCTCCTTGTTCTGATGTAGGTTTGGCTCGGGACCAAGTAACAGACAGGGCGAACCTGTCTGAGCTGCACACACAGAGTGGAGAAAAGGTTTAATGCACAAGCAGGATGAAGGAAGACGTGGCTTTTGTATGTGCTGTTGGGTAATTTGAGGGCTATTCATCTCATGTTCTCTGTCCCCGATTCTCCCAGTCCTGGACAGCCCTAGGCTATGTCTACACTAAAGAGGTTTTTTTTGGAAAAACGGCCATTTTTAAAAAAAAACCCGTCAATTATGTCCACACTGCAATTGTGTTCTTTCAAAAGAAAATCGAAAGAACCGGGGAGGGGGGCGTTCTGACATTGGTAAACCTCTTTCTACGAGGAAGAAGCCTTTTTCTGAAAGAGCTCTTTTGGAAAAAGGTGTGTGTGGACAGGGAAGAGGGAGTTCTTTTGCAAAAAGAGGAAAGAGGAAAAAGCGCAGGTGCCCCGGTGGCCACCATATCCATCATAGTGTACATGCGAGATAGTGTCCATTCAGGCTGGACGCTATCTTTTGAAAAAGCAAATGGATTTTTCGATGTGCTTTAGCAGTGTGGACGCTCTCTTTTGGAAGTTTTTTCGCAAGATCTCTTCCAGAAAAGCTTTGTCTGAAAGAAGCCTGCAGTCTACACCTAGCCCTACAGATGTCCTTTGTTCCAGCATAGGGCAGATGTGGCCATGCCAGCATGAAGACACTGCCTTCTCGGTTCCTGGGTAGTGACCAAAGTCAGACCTGGTAGTGCTGGGTTCAGACTATTTCTTGGTACCCTGATATGTTTTTGCCTCTGTATTCACAGACAAGGTCGGCTCCCAGACTAATGCGCTAAGTAACACAAGATGGGATGAAGATAGACAGCCTGTGGTGGGTAAAGAACAGGTTAGGAACTATTAGAAAAGTTAAACATACACAAATCCATGGATCTGGACTTAATGCATCCGAGGGTACTGAGGGAGTTGGCAAATGTAATTGAGGAGCCTTTGGCTATTATCTTTGAAAAGTCGTGGAGATCGGGAGAGATCCCGGATGACTGGAAAAAGGCAAATGTAGTGCCCATCTTCAAAAAAGGGAAGAAGAATGATCCAGGGAACTATAGGCCGGTCAGTCTTACCTCGGTTCCTGGAAAAATCATGGAAGGGGTCCTTAAGGAATCCATTTTGAGGCACTTGGAAGAAAGGAAAGTGATTAGGAATAGTCAGCATGGAACCATAGAGCTGGAAGAGACCTCAGACAGTCATCAAGTCCAGGCCCCTACTCTAGGCAGGACCAATCCCAACTAACCCACCCCAGCCAGGGCTTTGTCCAGCCGAGACTTAAGGGCAAGTCGTGCCTGACTAATCGGATTAGCTTCTATGATGAGGTAACTGGCTCGGTGGACATGGGAAAGTCAGTGGATGTGATATACCTTGACTTTAGCAAGGCTTTTGATATGGTCTCCCACAATATTCTTGCCAGCAAGTTAAGGGAATGTGGATTGGATAAATGGATGCTAAGATGGATAGAAAGATGGCTAGAAGGCCGGGCCCAGCAGGTAGTGATCAACGGCTCGGTGTCAGGATGGCGGTCGTATTCTAGCAGAGTGCCCCAAGGTTCAGAGCTGGGACTGGTTTTGTTCAATATCTTTAGTAATGACCTGGATGAGAGGATGGATTGCACCCTCAGCAAGTTTGCAGAAGACACTAAGCTAGGGGGAGAGGTAGATATGCTTGAGGGCAGATATAGGGCCCAGAGTGACTTAGACAAACTGGAGGATTGGGCCACAAGAAATCTGATGAGGTTCAAAAAGGACAAGTGCAGAGTCCTGCACTTGGGACGGAAGAATCCCAAGCATTGTTACAGGCTGGGGACCAACCAGCTAAGTAGCAGTCCTGCAGAAAAGGACCTGGGGGTTATAGTGAATGAGAAGCTGGATATGAGTCAACAGTGTGCCCTTGTAGCCAAGAAGACTAATGGCATATTAGGTTGCATTAAGAGAAGCATTGCCAGCAGATCCAGAGATGTGATTATTCCCCTTTATTCAGCTCTGGTGAGGCCACATCTGGAGTATTTGTGTCCAGTTCTGGGCCCCCCACTACAAAAAGGATGTGGACGCATTGGAGAGGGTCCAGCGGAGGGCAACCAAAATGATTAGGGGGCTGGAGCACATGACATACAAGGAGAGGCTAAGGGAGTTGGGTCTGTTTAGTCTGCAGAAGCAAAGAGTGAGGGGGAATTTGATAGCAGCCTTCAACTTCCTGAAGGGAGGTTCCAAAGAGGATGGAGAAAGGCTGTTCACAGTAGTGACAGATGGCAGAACAAGGAGCAATAGTCTCAGGTTATGGTGGGAGAAGTCCAGGTTGGATGTTAGGAAAAACTGTTTCACTAGGAGAGTGGTGAAGCACTGGAATGTGTTACCTAGGGAAGTAGTGGAGTCTCCATCCCTAGAGATTTTTAAGTCTTGGCTTGACAAAGCCCTGGCTGGGTTGATTTAGTTGGGATTGGTCCTGCCTACAGCAGGGGCCTGGACTTGATGACCTTCTGAGGTCTTTTCCAGCTCTATGGTTCTATGATTCTATGTCTGAAGAATTCATCACCAGATTTGAAAGCATTTTGCAAATACTAACAAAGGAGTTTTCTACACTAGGACATCCAGGGTACATCTAGACTACAGGCTTTTGTCGACAGAAGTTCTGTCAACAAAGAGTATCTAGACTACATCCAGTTCATAGACAAAGCAAGCTGCTTTGTCAACATGAGAGTGTAGATGCAAAGGACAGTGTAGATGCAATAATGCCTTCTGTCGACAGAACTCTGTCGACAAAAGGCGTTATTCTTCATGGAATGAGGTTTACAGCCGTCGACAAAACTGCTGAGTTCTGTCAACGTTATGTCGACAGAACTCAGTGGCCCTGTAGACTCAGGTATAGTTTTGTCGACAAAAGTCCACTTTTGTCGACAAAACCCTGTAGTCTAGACACACCCTCAGAAACATTAATTGGAATTAACTAAAGGCAGAATTTGAAGTGAATTAGTCAAACCGCATTAAACCCCATTATAAATTAAACTGAACAAATTAAGGCCACATGAATTCTGTAATGAAGCTATTCACATAGGACTTGTCTGTGCTATGGAGAAGATTGACCCTCCAGAGGTCAATTTAGTGGGTCTAGTGTAAACCCCCAAACTGAACGCTGAGGGCAGCTCCTACCTCATTCTGGGAGGAGTAAGGAAAGCCGATGGGAGCATGTGATTCCATCCGCCTCTCACAGTGTAGACACCACAGCAGCTCGGCTTAATGTAAGCCTTAATGGTGCACCTTAGGCCAGCCTGCCTGGTCTAATGTAGACTAGGCCATAGGGCTTTAATGTGGTTTAACCAATCCATTTTAACTTCACAGTTTAGGATAATTCAGATTAATTTTCCTGCAGGCCCCCACGTAGATGAGCCCAAATGGTCACAAGCCTCCTGTGAGACAGAGAAGTGTTACTAACACCACTTTTGCTGCGGGCTTGTCTACACTACAAATGTTACACAAGCATAGCTGGGCTGTCAAACCCATATTTTCTGATTCAACATGTAATCCCTAGGAATCATGTAAAATAATATCACTACAGTTTACCTTTTTCACTTGTGCCTCTTTAATCTTTTCCAAAGCAACCCTGATCTTCTCAGCTTTCAGTTTAGCAGCCTGCTCTTCCTGTGGGAGGAACAGCACAGTCAGTCTGATTTTAGAACTTCAATCCTTCTAATTATGAGGTTTACATAGGCCTGAATTTGAGAAAGAATACTAGTTCCCCCACTGGCAACAACTGCTACCGTGAAAATTAAAGGAACAATTACTGATGTTGAAAAGATTTACATTTAAGATACAAATACATCCTGTATCTGTGTGCGCACACACGCACACGCACAGATCCTGTGGCTTTGAAGACCAAGTACAATCATTTCTCTACACTGCCAGGCAGCATTGCATTGCTACTTTGCATTCTACTACTTTCTCATCTATCCATTACACCAGAGGTCCCCAACACAGTGACCGCGGGTGCCATGGCGCCTGCTGGGACATTTCTGTGCATCCGCCGAGTGATCGGGACCAGCCCTGCCCCCGGGCATGTGGTGCATGGGCAGTGCCAGCCCCTGGGCATGCAGCATATGGGTGGCCCCACCCCCAGGTGCACGGCGCAAGGGCTGTGCCAGCCCCGGGTGCGTGCCATATGGGCAGTGCCGGCCCCATGGCGCACGGCACACGGGTGGCCCCACCCCCTGGGGGCGTGATACATGGGCTGTGCCAGCCCCGGGCGCGTGACGTATGAGCGTCCCCACCCCCAGATGCACGGCATAGGGGTGGCCCCGGCCCCTAGGCGTGCAGCACAGGGGCGGCCTCGGCCCCGGGCTCCCAGCAGCCTCAAAAGGTTGGGGACCACTGCATTACATCATCACCAGGATGGTAGACCTAGCACAGTTGGGTATAAGGGATTTTTTTCCCCAAAATATTTTTGGCTCACAGAGCTTTGTAGTATAGAGCAAGGCTGAGAGGTAATGTGACACACATATCATCACTCAGTGGCGGAGCTAGGAATAGAACTCAGCAGTCTGCTGGGAATTGCATGCTCTAACCACTAGCCAACACTCTTCCAAAGCCCGCACAGTTGATCAGTGGCTGCACATGTGAGGCATTTTCCTCCTTGAGAACATTTTGCATGTAGGGTCTGAGAAAAGAATGAATGCTCTTACCACCTGGAGGCCAAACAGGGCTGGCTCCTTGTTACAGAAATGGTGCAGCCACATGTCCCTTTGATATTTAATTGTGTGTTTCAGGGTGTTCCTTCAAACTAAACAACCACACTGTGCTTTAATTGCATTATACCAGATAGTGATACATTGCTAATGCCAGGAGATGAATCACGTCCAGGTCCTTATTATTATTAATCATGTTTATTATAGACATGCTGACAGACCAACCAGGCACGAAGCCTCTTTTGCTAGGCTCTGGACCAAATAGCAGACAGGGTCAGCCCTAAAGAGCTGGACGCACGGAGTGGAGGGTTTAATGCACAAGCAGGATGCATGAGGACATGGCGTGTGTTTACTTGGGAAGGGATCAAGAGGGTGAAGGGAGAGGGACATGGAGGGGGACAGGAACGAGAGAAGAAGGTGTGGAATGGGGCTGAGAGGAACAGATGATGTGGGAGAAAGGGGCCATGATTGAAGCAAAGATCCAGTCAGCACAGGCCAAAGAGCAAGTCCAGTTCAGACTCAGGAAAGTCTGACTAGCCAAAGGTCTCTGCTCCGGCTGCTTCTGCAGCTGCTCCAACCGCTGGGATGTCTGGCTGGCTCCTCTCCAAAATCCTTCCCCAGGGGAGGGCCAAGTGGGAGAGAAGGCCTGGGTCACAATGGCCTTGGGGGAAGGGTCTCCCTTCTACAGTTCTGGTCTATTGTAACAGTCTATCGTCCCGGCCAGGCCCCATGGCAGCAGTGCCCGTTCCTGCAGCACTCAGCTGCTGAGGTGGGTGGCTGTGGAGAGGATGTGGAGATGGAGAAAGAAGTCTCCTCAGACTGGAGTTATAATTATCTCTGTGCATGGTGCTGACCCTCCTTTCTCCTGGGAAACTACCACATTTAAAGCAAGAGGGCAGAAAACCTTTGTGGGCAGCCAGGAGGCAAAGGCAAATTGGACTCCAGGCTTCTTAGCCTTTGGTAGGGCCACAGCCCTATTCTGCTGGGCAGTCTGATGGAAGAGACTGAACACGCTCAGCTGCACAGCCCTAGCCTGGCTCTATCACAGGGACAGAGGGGAGGCAGCTTGTGCCTTCTCTAAGCCCCAGCTGCTGATGGCCATGTGCAGGGGTGAATTTCTTCCCTCAGGTCTGATCCCAGAGCCCAGGGAGCTCAATGGTGGGAAATAATCTCACTGACTTCAGTGGGCTTTGAAGAATACAGATTGAACCTCTCCCAACTGGGACTCTCTGGTCCGGCAGGCAGAGGGGCAGCAGCCCTACTAGGGATGGGAGCCTGGTGGCAGGCGGGGGGCCAGCGGCCAAGCTTGGAAGTGAGGGCAAGCAGGGGAGCTGGGGGAGAGCCCAGAAGTCAGCAGCAGAGGGGCTGGAATTGACTTCCCCTGGCCGGGCAAACTCCCGGGAGGTCCAGCCTGGGACCTTCTGATGTGAACGCTGTAACACTAAGTTAAAGGAGAACCGGGAGGCACTTGCCCTATTCTTGCCTCCACCAATGACAATCACACATTTTCCTGGAATCTCTCCTCTCGCTGACAGTGGGCTCTCCCCAGCTCTGGCAGGAAAGCCTGGATCATCCCTGGCCTGTGGCCAAAGCCGCCGAGCATGTCGCTAAAGAGGGCCGTGGAGAAGCACACATGGAGCAATGGTTGAAGCTGTGGCCCGTGGAAGAGGACACTATAAGATCTAACTAGAGGCTCACTCTGGTTCTGTGGCGCCCTCGCAGCCGGCCAAACGAGAGCCATGCTCAAACGGAGAGCAATGAAATGCTAACAGATCCCCACCTCCCCCACGCCAGCGTTGGCGGCTTGACTCAGCCCATGGGTGGGGATCCATGTTATCGTGGGAGTACGAATCCTCCACCGAGCTTTTTGGAGCCCTCGGCATCAGCACCTTCCCTCCCCAAACTCAGCGTAGCAGCCACCCACACTCTGACCCCGGGCACCTTCCCCTTCCGGTTTTATTCTGAATCACCCCCCCTCGGCTCCATGCATACAGGCACAGATCTGTACGCAGCGGCTTGGCTTGCAGGGGAGAGGTGGGGCCAGAAGGAAGAGTTCACAATGTCCAATGTGACATGCAGGGGGAGGAGAATGGAGCAGAGTCAAAGCCAGGGAGTTAACAAGGTAAAAAGAAGTGCAGATAGCAGCTCTGAGTGCCGTACACCCTAGCTGCAGGGAGGGGAGGCAAAGCCCTTGTCTACACAGGGGAGTTGTGCTGGCTCGATAGCTCTACTCCAAACAAGGTATCCACCCTTGGGAGATACAGGGATCACTATGTCACCCTGGAGGAGCAGGGCCTGGGAGGAGGTATGGATTCAGGAGAGGTACAAAGGGTTTGGCTTTGTGGGGTAGGAGTGGGTGGGGGCAGAGGGACTGGGAGACCTGCCTGGGCGACTCCTGGCCAGCAGCCCAGCAAGGTTCTCGGGCAGCTTCCCTGCCTGCTCCGCCCCCTGCACAGGCTGCAGGGGCTCCGTGCATTGGTGACTAAGAGCCTGAGGGGAGGGGGCAGAGTGATTCCCACGCTGCCTGTTCTTCAAAAAGAAACAGCTGCAGCAGCCGCTTTTCTGACCGGTGGGGGGAACAGGGGGATGCAGGGCAAGCAGGGAGTCTGCGTGAGGCTCGCTGCTGCGTCCGCAGGCCAGATCTGGCCCCTGGGCCATATTTTGCCCAGCCCTGGGTTACACCTACATAGGCAAGGCCTTCCAGTGAGGCTGGGATGGGGAGGCTGGAGAAGGGTGAGCAAACAGGGCACGGGAGCTCTCCTGGGCATGGGGAGAGGGGACTGGCAATGAAGGAGCACTGCAAGAGCCAGGGGAGGCGGGGGGATGGAGGCCAGAGGGGAGGGTAGAAGGAAGCAGTCTCTCAGTGGGTGGGATTCATGGACTAGCACTGCACCAGCTTTACAGCTGAGACTTGAATCAAGGAGGAATTCTGGCAAATGTGATAATGGACCAGCAACTGTCCAGCGCCTGCTGAGTGAGCACTGGGATGGAGGGTGACCTTGTGGTCATGGCAGATGCGGAGGGCCAGGCAAAGCCATGAAGAGTGAGCAGGAACGGAGGGCAGGCACTGTGGATCCAGGAGCAGCAAAGAGTTTGTAGCATCCAGATGCATCCAGTCATCCACATTAGCCCTGTCCCTACAGCCCTGGTGACAATCAGACACTCCTGGGCCCACTTAAAACCAGCTCTTTCTTTATTGCCCAACAGAAAAACTCAACAGCACGGTCCTGCTGCCAGTAACATTCCCCAGCTTTTCAAAGAGCACCTGAAACACACGATCCTCTGAGCGCTCGGCAGGTCCTTCTGCACGCCAATGGGACCCACTCCTGCTCACTTGAGGCTCCGGAGAAAGGTGCTGGAACTACAAGGGGCCTTGTTTACAATCATCATTGGGGGCTTTAACCTCTCAACTCAAAGGAGCACACGTGACTAGCAGGCAAAGCAGAGGAGGCAAAAGGGTGCAGGAAGCACCATCTGACACTGTTGCTCCTCCACCAAGGAAGCCCTGAATCAGTGATTAGAGGCAAAGGTCACAGGCCATGAGAGCAAAAGTCATTCCGCCAAATGCCAAAGGGCCATGGCTCATTGCCACCAGACACAAAACAGGGAAACGCCTGCCCAGTCCAGTACAGCACAGAACAACCAGAGTAAAAGCCAACTGTGGCCCAACATGAGTGCATGGAGCAACAGCTCCTGGAACATCACGCAGCATCACCCCAGCCAGGGGCCCCAAGACCAGGAGGAAGGACGCATCAAGTCGGATATCATCCCCCGCTCGATCATTTTCAGCAGCCACTCCTGCTCCGCGGTGATGTTGTGCATCATGAACTGCAGAGAGAAGTGCTGTTGTTACTGATTGTTTCTCACAACACCCAGAATCATGTGCTGGGTGTCGTGCAGCACAGACAGAAAGCAAGCCAGATTCACTGCTGGTGTAATCGGTGTTAGTGGAGTGACTCCAGTTTAGACCATCAGGGGACCTGCATAAAGATCCTTACCCCATGGAATTTACAGACTAACATCAGCATGATGCTGTGGCTATAGAATCAGGCAACCTGGGTTCTATTCCCAGCACCTGCCAGCGGCATAACCTTGGTCATGTCACTTCATCCCTCTCTGTTTCCACTCTCATGCTTATTCTGTCCATCCTGTTTGTAAGCTCTCTGGGGCAGAGGCTGCCTCTCACAGTGGCTGTGTCTACATTGGCAAGATTTTGCACAAAAGCAGTTGCTTTTGCGCAAAATCTTGCCGCCTGTCTACACTAGCCGCAAGTATTTGCGCAAGAACACTGACGTTGTAATGTACAAAATCAGCTCTTCTTGCCTAAATACTCTGGCGCTCCCGCTCAGGGATAAGCCCTCTTGCGCAAGTATTCCTGCGCAAGAGGCCAGTGTAGACAGGCAACGTTAATTTCTTGTGCAAGAAAGCCCGATGGCTAAAATGGCCATTGGAGCTTTCTTGCGCAAGAGAGCGTCTACACTGGCATGGATGCTTTTGCGCAAAGGCACATGCCAGTGTAGACACAGCCAGTGTGCTTATAGCACCTCCACAAGATGGACCCCTCCTCAGTACCTGGCTCTAGGTGCCACTACTGTTAATAATGTACACTTATAAAAAGGGCCAGGAAAGGCAAGGGTTAACAGTGCTATGACAATACAGTTCTGAAGTGGTGCACAGGTTTCTGTATTTTAAACAAAGGAATGGCTCAGCTGCCTCGTTTCTCGCAGGTGGCATGGAAAAGTGAGACTTAAATGGGGATTTGCACTAAATCAGGAAAGTGGCTTTGCAGGCCCCGATGCATGAGCATGAAGATTGACACCAGGGAGGAGCAGGCAAACAAGACAGTGAAGGCAATGAGGGGAGACCAGCTCTCCCTAGAGTCAATAGCAAGACTCCTGTTGATTTCAGTGGGCACTGGACTGGGCTCATTCCAAATGCTGCACTGGAGTATACATAGTCTGCATCTGAAGCCCTCTCAGAGAGCTCCCAGCAGCTACTCTGGTCCCAGCCTCTCCCAGCAGGAGTCACTGTGGATATTGGTGAAGGAGCAGTGAGCCTGGGGGAGCTCCCAGCTACTCCAGTCCCAGCGTCCCCCAGAGAGTGTCACCACAAAGAACAGGTCAGCAGGACCAGGACAATCTTACCAATTCCTGGCTCAGATGCTCCGTGTCATAGTAGTGCACCGGCGTGGTGTTGTCATGCCGCTCAGGGTAACCAAACCCTACGATATTGACTTCATGGCAGATATGGAGGGCTAAGTTCAAGGCGATGATTCCCGTGGTAGAATATTGCTGGATACAAAGACGTGACACATTTTCGAATGACATTATGCATTCTGAGCTCAGCTTTTACCACCCAGCACCCAGCAACCTGGCTGTACTTGGGACCCACTGCCCCCTTCATGCCCTACTGAACAGCAAAATACCAAGACAGGCACAGAAGGGCTGAGTTTATAGGCCTTGCTCTTTCGATGACATAACCCCTTGGTCCATCTTTTAAAGTGAGGCTGTGCAGAACAAGATAGCCTCTAGCGAGAACGGGGCCTTTGGAAAAATCAAATGTTAACCTCAACAGAGATGTATAAGCTTCGGAAAGGAACTGAGCAGGCATGTAGTCTGTCCCTGTGCCTAGTGTCTGTATATACTCTGTCTGACTGGTGTCTTAGTAGTGTGCTAAATTCGAGCTTGTGCATTAAATTCCAGTCTGTAGCCTAAAAGTTACAAAACCAGCCAGTCATTTAAAGGCAACATAGGCATTTACAAACACCTGAATTATTTAGAAGACACAGAAGATGCCAAGCGGAACAGCCACAAAGCTGGGCTCAGGAGAAAATGTACCATCCGTTCTGGAATAAATTGCCTAGGGACGCCGTGGAATCTCTATCATAGGAGATTTTTAAGAGCAGGTCAGACAAATACTTGTGAGGGATGGCAGATAATACTTAGTCCTGTCATGAGAGCAGGGGACAGGATTAGATGACCCTCGAGGTCCCTTCCAGTCCTCTGATTCTATGGCATCTAAGTAACATTTAGCGCTTTCTGCATGGATTGTAGCACTTCCATGCATTTCAGCAAGGATAAATTATGGAGCCCAGGTCTGGCAATCCAGAGACTTAGGTCCCAGTCACAAATCCAACCCTGGCTACTAATCACTGCTTGACCTTGGGCAGGTCATTCAGACACTGTCTGCCCCAGCTTCTCCCTCAGAAAACACCGATTATAATGCTTCCCTCATTCCGAGTGGTGGCTGCGGGGCTGAATTAATTAATGGCTGCAAAGTGCTTTGAGGATCTGGACAAAAGACAAAGAATGATTATACTTATTAACCAGATAATCCTCAGTGCCCCAATGGGAGGGGAAACTCATGCTATGGAAGGAGTTGTCAGGATTAGGTCTGTTCCATACTTCACTGCTTTAGGGGATGCAGACCTAACTTCCTATCCTCTTGCAGAAGCCCATTTTCAGTAGAGGCCCACCTGACAGGGAAAGGGAAGCTCAGCACTGTCCACGCTGGGAGAGACTGCGCACCGTGGCACAGCAAGGCCACAGAGTATGAAATTAGGAAAGCGAAACGTAGGCTGGATCTCAGTAAGATGTGGACACAGCCAGCGGTGGAATAGTCTCCCGGTGGATGGTGTCGAAACCTCCATCTCCCGCGGCACCAGAGCCACACTAAAGGCCTGCGCCTGAATGGGGCAGGCAGATGGGATCGAACAGGTCTCGCCCCTCACCCCTCCATTTCCTTCTGCGATTCCTGGCAGAGGCAGGAAGGCACAAGGCTAACGGCGGCAAAGAGCACCCTGAAGCTTTCTCCTTGCCAGGCAGTCTGGGCCATACCTTGCCCTTCTTCTTCAGCTGAAGCAATTTGTATGTGGCTTGGTAGGTGACATAAGGGTGCAGAATCCGCAGGTAAGAGGTATTCCACTTCCATTCACTAGGAGGCTTGCGCCAAAACCCCTCTACAGTCTGCAGGAGGGATGGAGAGAGAGAGAGAGAGAGATGGATTCAGCTGCAATAGCCATACCTGTTAGGAAGAGGAGGAGTATCCGAGGGCAGGGGGTTTGTACAAATAGTAAACAAATACCTAGCTCAGCTATGGGAATTAGCACAGAGAGCCTTACCTTAGGGCGTCCCTTATCCCACCTTCCACCATGGCAGCCAGTGTGTTGGCTGTTTTGCTGTTCCCTAGGTGGCTGGGACTTGAATCCACCACCCTGCCCTCCACAAGCAAGTGCCCCTGTCTCCTAGTCCACCACCTTGTCTTCAGGGCATCCCTTATCCCACCTTCCCTGGGGGCAGCCTGTGTGTGTGTTGGCTGTTCTGCCACTCCCATGGTGGGCAGGACTTTTCTAAACTAAACAAGCTCAGTTCTTTCAGTCTCCCCTCACAGGTCATGTCTTCTAGACCTTTAATCATTTCCGTTGCTCTTCTCTGGACCTTCTCCAGTTTCTCTACATCTCTCTTGAAATGTGGGGCCCAGAACTGGACACAATACTCCAACTGAGGCCTAATCAGTGCAGAAGTTTGGGGTCGTCCCACTGCTCTTGGCACGTTGCTAAGGGGAACGCCCATAATATGGAAGAGGACAACAGAGCCCTAAAACATCTTATCTCATGCAACCTGGCCCAGCACTTCCCAGTAGCTCTTTGAGATGCCTCACCTTATTCCTCGTATCCAGCAGCATCTCCATCACCCATGTAAAATCCAGGCTCTTGAACGGAATGAGCACCATCAGCGTTTCATTGTTGTTGTTATCCAGAGGGTTGGGTACCGCAGACTCGGGGAAGAAGAGCCGGATGCTGGTTCTCTCACCCACATCTGCCTTGTGATCTTTCACTGGAGCGTTGTTTAACCTGAGGAGGGCAAGGCAGAGTGCTGAGAGCGTGCCAGATATGCAGGCTCTCACAGAACAGGTCATATGCCACTGCTGGCTGGGACCAGACTTGTTAGATGTGTGGGGTTATTTTATTTTACTACTTCATGTCATTCAACACCTAGCGTCTTCAAATGATAGCACAGTTCCCCTGCAGTAGGTGCTGCATTTACACAGAGTGAGAAATGGTCCATGGTCCAAAAAGCTCATGGTCTAAATAAAGACAAAGGGGGCAGAAGGCAGGATGAATGTAGCCCCATTTTGCAGATGGGAAATGGAGGCACAGAGAAATCAAGTGACTTTCACTCAGGAAGTTTATGGAGGAGCCAGAATTTAAACCCAGTACCAAACCAAGGCCTTGACCACAAACCATTCTACTGAATGAGCAAACTGAAGAGGTCAAAGGGCAGGTCTACACTAAGGATGTTAAATTGCGATGATCTGGCTAACTGTGTAGTCGATACAAGAGTGTAGTCAATGATTAGTAGATAAGGGCCACTTGGCAGAGCTGCAGCGGGGTAGCTCCAGGAGCTGGCTTGAGCCAGGACTGAGCCACTAACACTGCAGCTCTGCATTTTAAATGAAATAAGAGCCACTTAAAATGCAGAGGTGCAGCGTCCTGGACCAGTGCAAGCCGGGACTTCTCGTCTCAGCTTGTGCTGCGTCCAGCAGCCCCTGTTCACGGCAGCCATCCCAGGCAACCAAAACAGGGGGTGCTTGGTGGCAGCTGCCCCTGTCCCGGGGCGGGGGGGCAGCTCCCCACTAGGACCCCTATGGACAGGGGCTGCTGACAGAGCAGCGTCTGCCCACAGCAAGCCTTAGCCTACCACGGGCAGAGGCTGTTTCGCAGCAGCCCCCCCATCTCCTCCCCACTGCCCCAATAGAGGCGGCGGGGGGCACCACAGAGATGGTGCTGGGTGGAACCAGCTTTTAAGCTGACTCCTCCCAGTACCAGCTCTTATTTCCCTTCCCACTTTGCAGCCTCTCGGGAGGGGGGGATGGATGAGTAGTCGATACTCCAGTCGACTACCCAATAAGCATAGTTGACTAGTTGACTACTCACTAGCATCCCTAATCAACGCTGCAATAAACGGCCCACAGCCAGGGCACCGCTGGCCCAGGTCAAGTGACTCAGGCTTGCAGGACTGGGGCTGTGGGGTGGAGACCATATTTCCCTAAGCCAAATACGGTGCCTTGCGAGTTGAACAGGAACCAATCAGAATTACGCAGTGCAAATGTTCAAATTAACATCGAGGTGTCCGAGCCCTACAGGGGAGGGAGGAGGGCCAGGAGTGCATCCAGCCGCAGGAGATGGTGGCGGGGGAAGGGATGACCAGGCCTATGTCTTTGCAGAACTCATCTCCACTCCCCCACCCCCTACACCCCCTCTCCCTGTGACCGGAAGCAGCTCGTCCCTTCCTGCCTGCACAATGCTAGAAGGCAGCTAGCACCTCCAGACTGCTGCTGGCCACCAACATAACACAGCTCCTGTCCCTGGTAGAGCACAGGCAGGAAGGGGTTAAGCCCTAAGAATGCACTTTG